CAAAAAAGCCCGAGTAGAAAATATTTAACCACTAGCAGACGGTAACTCGACAAAGCACGTCTCAGATTCCATCTGTAATAATGTGACTAAGTAAACAATCTATAAAACTCAGGACTATCTATTGCCACAGCAACATTTATTGTCTGTCCTTCTTTTACTCACACTTCTCACATTTTCAGTGATACAGCTAAAACAAATCTTTATAAACTTGATACTATTGTAGTATTACATTTCTCTTTGTACATGAAATCACCCATTGCAGATACGAAACAAACAAAATTAACAAAAACTTGGAATATAACCTCTGTTTAAATTGATAAAAGCCATATAAACAAATTTTCATTCCTTTTTTAAAATTGTTCTTTCACAAATTATTTCAATATCAAACCTTTCCTTCCCCTCAAATCCGCTCATTGTTATTAACTGCTTATTACACTATTTATTTTCACCAGGATAAAATTATCAAAATTAGTTATTTATTAAGGTATCAAATTTTGTTTCTTAGTGTTAATTTGTGCACTTAAAATCAATACATTGCAAATTGAAAGCTCGATTGTAATCAAGAGTTACCAAGAGTATCTTAGCAATTATCCTTTTGTGCAATTTTTATTTTAAATGTATTGCTGAGAAACCAAACGCATCGAAAAGGGGGAAAATATCACCACTTGTAACATTTTTTTAAATTTTATGTTATTGTTGTAGCCTAACACGTGGGTTCTAGAAACGAATTTGTTGACCATCCTCCTAAATATGCTGTATTGCTGGTCATTTTGAGATTTTGCACCACATGGATGCAACTCAACAGCTATTTGATCCGACACAATAACGATTTGTGTTATATTTACTCCGTCCAATCGTTGGTGAGCCATTGAGAGCCCACGTTAAGGCAGGAGCCTTTATAGCTAGTTCCCGTAAAATCTATGGTCGGCAACGTCTGAATGAATTTGAGCAACAGAATATAATGGTTTACAACAAATCTTCTGCAAAATAAGAAGCTCTGAAAATTAAACATTCGTTATTTACATTACCATCGTTAACACATTAAAAGAATTGGTTGAAATTTAATGGTCTTTTACACTTGTTTTTGAACAGTGATTTTGCAATAAGGCCACATTTAAAACACGCTATTCACTTGCAAGGCATTCCAAGAAAATATCGTGATCATATCGTCTGAATGATATGTAAATACTCAACGCTCATCTTTCTTCTGCTGTTTTTCTGAAGTGATTTCTGAACTAAAAACATAATAAAATTAGTTTTACTAAATTTCCTTCGCACACTACTTGCGATAACACGCAGAATCCCTGATACATAGAGATCTTCGCGTCGCGGATTTGCCTTACTAAATCTTGAAAGCCGGCGGTAGCACACGGTTTCGGGTCTCAGCACAACCGGAACTGCAGCGCAATGGTGAAACGGGAAGGAGAGGGATTAAAGGAGATAAACAACAGGGAAACGTCTTCATATACCATTAAATCAATTGTTTTCTAGGTCAGTATGGCAAGTATGAAATAATGGACATGCAAAAACAGCTTCGAAAGGACTTCGGCGATATTGTGCGGGTCAGCAAAATCCCTGGCCGTAAGGACATGTTGTTTCTCTTCGACCCCAAAACTGCGGAAAAGGTAAGTAAAAAGTAAATATTAAGAGTATTTTCACATTTCACGAACCATTATCATTCTTAAGAACGTTGGTAAACACTTTTTATCTTGCGACACTTTATAACCATCCGTGCAAGTAAATCACCGGACGTAAGTCAAAACTCACTACACCCCCAAAAAAGTTTTTTTGATAAATCAAGTAAGTGCTAATTCTGTTAAATTTTTCTACCCAATGTATCTTGTCAAAGAAAAAAACGTGTTATTAACTCACAAATATTGGTTGTTGTTTTTTTAAACATCTGTCTTTCCATCTGATTGTCAACAACACGTGTGCCAAATCTTTCACGGGATTTTCATCAAAATGGATATCCTTCACTTATTTTGCTTAATGTCACGTTCCCTTTCATTTTAAAATAGTTGTTTTGATTTTTAAGGATATTTTATATGAACCTCCGTAATTTTGTTTTACAAAACTATTCCAATTGTTTTCTTTCAATTTTTCCTCAAAAATATTATACTGCGCTCATAAATACTCAGCCAAAATTTTAATATCGTTGATTCTACCAATTTAAAAAAACAACAGAAAAAAATAAATTATGAAAGAAACAATCTTTCATATTTATTCTATTATTCCTTCAATTGACTGATTTTGGCCGCATGTTTCAAATGTGTTTCGTAATATAGTTAAAATTCTAACATTCATTTATTCACGACGTTCTTTTCAGATGCTTCGAAACGAAGGAATTTGGCCAATTCGAGAGGGTATAAAAACATTACATTACTACCGTACAGTGTTGAGAAAGGAAAAATATGAAGGTGTTCTTGGAACTATTACAAGGTATTTTCTTACAAAACACATAGAACAAAAAAGTATTTCAATAGATATCTTGTTTTTTGTTGATGTATGATATAATTTTTCATGTTATATTTTTTAAAATAAACTTATAAATGAACAATAATGCGTAATGATGTGAATCCAATGAAATTATTCACCTAAGAATCACAACAATGTGATTATTCATTTTTAGTCAAGGGAAAGAATGGCAAGACTTTCGCTCCAAGGTGAATCAGCCATTGATGCAGCCCCGATCTGCTCGGCGATATTTTGCACCGATAGATGAAGTGGCTCAAGACTTTATTGGCAGGTGTGCACATATTGAGTTATAATTGGCCTGACACGACAGAAATTCTGCTAAATACAACACAAAATGGTCTTCTAAAAGGTGACTCTCAAACAGAACAAGAACAACAAATCAACTACTCTCAGTTTAACATTTCAACAACTTTAATGCTTAACCAGCCTTCACCAATAGTGCAGTAATGTAGTACCGTATGCAGAAAGGATAACAGTTCTTTACTTATAAAGAATATAAAAATGGTGCTGTGTCACAACGAAACACATTATTAGCAAGTATTTAAAGGCGTTAGCTTCTTCCTTGGAGCCTTGCTGTCGCTTGACGTCAGCCGTCTCATGAGCAGAGACGCACTGCCTAATAGAACATTGTCGTTATACGGAGATTGAAGTAAGGGTAGGTAAATGAGAGAAGGCGAAATAAAACAGTAAAATATTTTCATTTTTCAATCGAAACCAAACCTGTTTTATTGTTTTTGTATTTTTTTCTAAGGGTTTTGGTAACTAACCAAACCATGACATATTTTACCTTCATAGCTTTCTTTTCATTTCTGTGTGAATTGGAAATTAGAAATTGGAGCAACATTGGCGTTTTGTAATATTGTTAATGTAATTCAAGGTTTCTGCACATTGAATGTTACAAAACGTAGAAAAACAATTATTGGTTATTGCTTTCATTAATATTTCGTTACTGAAAGTTTCACAACTCGTTTTGGAAATTTTGCACATTTTTTACCAAATCTTTGAAGTAGTTGGGAATGCTTAATGACAAGGTGTTCCGTGTGAAAAAAGTTATGTAATACTGCCCGAGAAAAGATAGAAAGTGTTAATTTTGTCCATCTCTCAATTACGTCTTTTAATATTTTCAAAAGATGAGAACTTAGAGGTGTTTTTTCCACGCTATCCGAAGACCACACATTTCCAAAGAGATGTATATTTTATAACAGATCTCGTGAATGTGTATGTTCTGTATCATCATTGGATCCCTACAGTTTGATATAAGGCATGATAAGTGAGGTTTTTTATACCGGTAAGTAGAGTGCATTTTGAATTTATTATATCAGCAGGTACTTGCTGAATTCAATGTAAAATGAAACTCTAAATTATTTATAAGCCCAAAAACTGATACCTTTATATATAAAATATGTCACACAATTATTCATCATTTACCACTGTCTCCTGATGTAATTTGATTCGCCTCGAAACCCGAGATTTAGAGTAGAAAGGGCAGCTTCGGGGAAATAGAAGAGAGTTTTGAACATTTTACCGTCAACAGCAAAATGAAAATTATATTTGAGTATTGGCAGTATATAATTGGTTTCCTGAAAAAAATGGAATTAATAGTTCGTTCTACTCCCTTTTTAACATTATTACTTGTTAAGCTGTTGATATGTCGTACTGCCCTAATAATCACTGGATCTTTCTGTAACTCCAGTATCCATGCAGGTACGGCCAAGAAAAAAAAAGGTCTCTCTTCTGTGTTCAGAAGCCATTTCATACAGTTTCTCCATATTTTTTTAATATCAATAAGCACCTGCTGAATTAACATAATGCATTTAGAAAGCTGTTTATCCTAAAAGACCAAACATTCCAGTTTTGATTTTTCAGAATGCGAGATCTTCGAGACGAAAACATGGAGCTTCCTGCGGGATTTATAAATGAACTCTACAAGTGGTCCTTAGAATGTGAGTTCTAAAATATTTAATTAATAGTACATATTTACTAACCTATGTTGACTTTTCACTGTCCGATGCGAGCTTTCTTTGGATTGTTACGGCTGATGTTTGGGACATTGGCTGTCAAAACAGACATGTAGCCTTAGGTGTGTGCCAGAAAGGGCCAAGGGAACCGTAGGCTCCCTGAAAATTATGTTTTGTGACCCAAAGCCCTTGGTAATTGTAGTATATGATCGCAAGTTTCTCCTGTTTTATTTGAAACTTGCAAAATACCCGACATTACCCGAGCTTTCTTCATATCCAATCCTTGTGAAAGAGGAAAACGATCAATTTTATATAAACCACGCTATTTAAGATGATGATTTTTAATGTAATTGGTTCAAATTTTAATAAAATTAAATAATATTCTTTCATTTTACTGTACACTACATTGCTATTAGATCAAACATTTTTATCTTACGCATTGCTACTGGCCTCTATCTTAACTCTGAAAGTGTAGACCAGTTCTGCTGCACAGTTACTGATGACTGGCGGATTATATTAGAAATCAATGTGCTCTAAGCGACATGCGAAAAATGATGATCGTGGTACATCTAACACGTTTTGCAAGGACACTGCAAAAAATCCTAAAGAAGAGTGTCAAACTTACGTATGTTATACCCTTTATGCACATGTTCCGTTCGTTTTAATTTTTGGTTTCAATTTAAGAATAATTTAAAATTTGAGAAATTTAAGCAAATATTTACCTTTGATGTCGTATTGCTACCAAAAAGTTATATTTTAAGTTGGCCTTGCATTGCTTTTTTCCAAGAAATATTTGCATATGGAAGGTACTGAACATATTGCGGATAAAATATTAGAAGCTGACAAAGTCATGAAAACATTACTTTCCACGAAATGTAAAGTAAGGTATGAGAGAGAATGCAACATGTAGTATATGTATCGGTAACTAAAAAAACTAGTCGCTTCTGACATAGTTTTTCTATAGCGTACTTTTTAGAACACAACTGATGTTTATACTTTTTATATTTGTAATACTAACACGAAATGTGATATGTAAGACATTTAATATATTTATGTTAAATATTTTATGTTGTTCCATTAGTCAGCTAGCTTAACGTTTACTTTCAATTTTAGTTTTATTTATTTATCCTATATATGTAGCTATTGTAGTTACGTAACCTGTGATGTTGAGTTTTGATGTAGAGTGATGTTTCATGGCCGAGTGGAAATACCATTGCTACGTATGTGTGCTAGTGTCTTAATTAAACGATTTTGCTCCCTTTCTGAATTCTAATTGGTGGACGTGTAGTTGTAAGTGCACGATGGAATTATAATTGTAGGCGTGGTATTAACAGAAATAATTAACAACTTTTCATGGAAGTAATTAGTATATTTAGATAACTAAACACAAAAATACATAATTGAAATATCTTCGAAGTATGTTTTATTTATTCATTAGTAAAATGTATTAAAATATACATAAATAATAACGTTTTATTGACACTGGGAACCAGAAATGTGATTGCTCACTCTTGTTGTTTTAGCCACCGCATGCTTATGATCGTAGGTTTTAGGCAGAACACAACATATTTCCCGAAATACATAATCCCGAAGACGAGGTTAGTTCCCGACAGTCAAGAGGCAATATTCATCGACAGTGACAGCAGCAATTACGCCTATACTCCGATTTAAACATAAGTGCCCCTTCAAGGTCACAAGCTAAAGGAGAGGGAGACGCTGTCAGCCAGGCGCGCGCTTTGTTACGTCTTGAAGTTTTGGAACCGAAGCTCTCGATTGGATGACAGCACCCTCATCCTCCCCAGTCCGTGACCTCGAAGGGACACTATGTTTTAAGCGGAATACTGTAAAAGACTGTAATCAAAAGACTGGTGTGAGACGAATCGTCTCGTCTATTGTTAATGATCTCCAAACATTATGCTCGTCAATTTTCATGAATTCGTATCATAAAATGATTTATGCAATTTATACGTAAATGTATTTATCATATGCATTTGAAAATTTCATGCTCAGTTTCCTACCATTAATTTCTCCAGAAACATTCCCAAATACTCACAGAGAACAATATATTTTATAATGTACAAGCAAACTTGAATACCAATTATCTGATTTAACTTACTTGAAGTAATTAATAAGATAGCGAGTTTATTTTCAGCTTGCCCCATCATTCGTATTCTAATTTTTAATTTTCTTAGAAGTTACAACAGTTTTGAGCTAGTAGTTGTCACATTCTCATCGTCTCAATGTCACATTTTAAAAATTACAGCCTTTGGGTATTTATTTTAGTCCATTCCCTTATTCCTTTTCGGCAAGTCTTCTTTCAATCCCCTCTAGTGGGCCTACTATCTCAACTGTCTTGGCTCGATTGAACCAAATTCCTTCAAAAATCCTGATATAATAGTTAACTATGCACCAAGTGCGATATAATGATTGAGTGGAGATAAAAAGCTCGAAGGCCAAAAGCTCTCCTGTTAACGTCCGTCATACATACTTGATTTTATTTTTTACGTAATTTTAATTATTCAGACTAACTTATTTACTAATTAACTAGATGTTAACTTCAATCAGTTTGTCTTTTCATGTTTCCCTCCCATAATTCCCTATCATAATCCCGTCCATAAGGGAACATGTAGCACCATTCAACTGTTCCTTCCTTTCTTTCGATCTAGTTAAGTTATTCAATGCATATCGAACTCCGTATCGAAGGCGATATCAAGCAATAGCGAATCAGTAAAAAATAAACATTTTGTGAGTGCCGTAGTTGGCCGAACGTTGCGTCGTATTGGACGCCGGTCGAAAAACGAGCGCCGTGTGACTGGCTGTTGCAGCAATCGCCCTGGTGGCGCTGGACACGCGACTGGGTTGCCTGGCGCCCAACCTCGCGCCGGACTCGGAGCCGCAGCGCATGATTGATGCAGTACAGGTAGGCGCAAGTGAACAGAATATGGGAGGTAGATGAAGTTGTCGCACAATCCTAGGAATACATATATTCATTTACAATTAATATTGCTTTACGAGGTTGTCACAGACTCAATAAAATTTATTGCACGTGCTGTTGTTTCAATATATTGTTTATAATATACTTAATAAAATATTATGTAACTTGTTTATAAAGTAAAGCTTTATTGTATGAGTATATGTTTTGAAAACGAGTGAAGTTTTCAAATATGAACGAATGCAATGAAACATTGTAAACGAGTTACACACAATGTTTTGTATAAAAGCATTATAAATTTACAAGAAATATACAAGTTAATCTTTCGAAACAATTTTACAGTTACATCACGAGTTTTTGACATTTGTGCGACAGCGGTGATTGGCTATTCGGTACCACTACCTTCTCACGATTCTCTCACTGCGATTGGCTGAATATGTGATTACGCAATTCTTGGCACTATTAACGGAAAACACGTCATAATCTGTGCTGTATGATATTATTATATTAAAGACTTGTGACGAAAAAGGTCGTTTATAAAGCTGGAATACCATAATATACATTTTAAGACGTATAAATCAGTACACAGTTACTATGAACTTCATTATATTTAACCGTACTGTAGAATTTCGTTCATGCATCGTTAAATTTTTAAATTCCTATCAAAATGCTACTGAATTGAATCGTTTTTTTTTCACTTCACTTATGTTACTCTTACATCGTCATTTGAGCACGTGTAATAATTCTTACTTCTCCGATTACCCTACTTATAGGTAATGTTCGAGGGGTTTTATAAACTCGACTTGCAGCCTTCCTTATGGAGGCTCGTCAGCACTCCCATGTGGCGGCGATTGGTTCACGCCTTTGATTACTTCTATGAGTAAGTACACAAATTGCGGGAGATAATGTTTACATTTTTGAAGAAAATGTAAACCCTGTTGGTTACACTACTTGAAAAATCTATTAAATTACATGATCGCGAGTCAAAGCAGAGATCTGGTAAGATAATTTACTCGTCATATTTTAGGCGTAAAAAGAAAAAAAATGTGAGTGACTTTTCGCTTCTGGTAAAAGTGTTCGTTCTCGTAGATTCTCACTTCATAATTTTATTCACCATTTTTAATGCAGTTCTAAATCCTCGTTTTAATTTTATCAACTTCACAATATATTATTAAGCAATTTGACAAAAATAGTTATTAAATGTAGCTAAGTAAAACTTCCCTTCGAGGGTAAACATTGTGAAAAATACAAGGAGCTAGAAGTTGTACATAGAGTGGCTGACCCTATGGTTTCAGCGCTCCTGGTGGAGGCTGGCCGACCTAGGGTTCGCCATGTTTTTGGCAGTCAACACATGAGAGGTGCCTGATAGAGATGCCTGATGGAGTTGTACTGAATGGACGTGCTGTTTATATCGTCGCCTATATTATTTCAGTAGAATAGGTAAACATTTGCGACTCTCGCACGCAATCGATATTGATACATGAGGTCTCTAAAGAAAGGGAATTATTCGGAGACGTGGCTAATGAGACTTTGACTTTGAAAATAAGGATTTGTTTCTTAAAAAAGAATCAAAATAGTTATGTCAAATGCAATCCGCAACACTCAGTTAGCTAAATAGTTACACAACTCCTAAAGGAAGAGTTCTAGGGCCTTAAAACGTACAATTTTGAGAACAAAAGCCTCAAAGAAACACTTTTTACACCGCAATCTGCAGGAGATATTCTACTTGAGAACACGTCTTGGAAATGAGCATTCATTTTTTATCTCATTACGCCTCTCAAATCCGTTCCACACGAAGCTCACTGTCACACGTGTAGAGCAACAATTATAAAACGATCACGGCGTTGTCCTGTGCCGAGATCGGTTTCGGTGCAACGAAACGAAAGCGTTATTCCTAATTATTTTCAGTGTTGCAGAAAAGTACGTCGATGAAGCAGTGGCCAAGCAGAAAACGAATCCAGATAAGGAGCCCAGTATTTTAGAACGCCTCATGAAGGAGGATCCGCGCGTCGCAAAAGTCATGGCTTCCGACATGCTCTTCGGAGGAGTGGACACGGTGAGGCAATTAATCAAATACCATTTTCCTCTTATGCACAACAGAGAAGACTACAATACTGAGATAACTAAATTTCTGTTACCAAAAAACGTTCGTGGGAATTCTATTATATATAATTTACAAGAGAGTTCATTGATGATAAAACTACCAAGAAATGGTGATAATACTTCGTTTGCAAGAATTACACATTATTATTACAAGATACGTTTTTACTTCGTGTGTGAAAATAGGGCAATCGTAATAGTAACGAAAACTATTTTAGTAGAGTACCTTACCGAAACTCATTAGAAATATGGGACGGTTCAAATAGGAATCTGTTCAAAATATTTTGTTGGGTATAAATATGTATAATTAGTATTCTGCAAAGTGTCATTATATTTTAAAGCTCTTTTCATACATTAATGCAATATACTATTATTATTATTATTATTATTATTATTATTATTATTATTATTAACAATAGCAATAATAATAATTCGTGGAATATTTTCTCGAAAATATAAAATACAAAATTATTACAAATATTGTTACAAGCATAATATATGAAACAAGCATGCATGGAGCATACCTGTCATTGTTAAAGTAAAATTTATTTAAGAACAGCAAAGTAGGCACATAAGCTACACTATGTCGCCCTCACACATAATGATCGACTCCACTTTCACTGGTGCGTACTGAAAGGACCAGCCATTTTACTGTGTTTAATAATATTTTTATTGCTACCTTTGGATCTACAGACGTCCCATTTGGCAGCGTCCCTTCTCTTCCATCTAGCGAAATATCCGAACGTTCAACGGAAAGTGGGGGAAGAGGTGCGCAGAGTCCTTCCGGCCAAACGAAGCCCCGTCACAGAGGACGCCATGGAGCAGATGACTTATCTCAAGGCTTGTCTTAAGGAATCGCTCAGGTAAGTGTGTGTTGGTGGAGAGAGTGAGAGAGACAGAGTGAGAGAGACAGAGTGAGAGAGACAGAGTGAGAGAGACAGAGTGAGAGAGACACTGAGAAAGACAAAGAGGAAGATGGAGGGAGAGAGATAGTCCGATAGAGTCCCATTTTAGCTAATTAAATTGTAGTGTTTCAATGTCTTCAAGAAAAGAAATATTAGATAGCGCATAAAACAGAAATATTTACAGGTTCTCCCAGCAAGTTAACGCAATTTCATTTTAGCTACAAGTTCACGAGTAGGATGTTTAAATTGTGAATGAATTGATTTCTTTGCAGAGTATTTCCCATAGCCATGGGCAACATACGAGAAACCCAGAAGGATATAGTTCTGAGCGATTATCAAGTTCCTAAAGGAGTAAGTAATGGCACTTGAGAGCGATTTTATTGGATTCATTTGCGCATTAATTTATACAGAACGTACTTCCTTTCAACTCTGAGACGAAGCAGATTTAGCTACTTGTAAAAATAATTAGGGGAAAATCCTGAAGCCAATCTTGCTAGCGCCCAATCTCGCCATCAAGCGGAGAAAAATCACGCCATCTCCCGCGATGAAAACATGCACTATACTTGGGACTAATAAACTAACGATTTGACACTTCTGGAATCGCCAATCAATCAATACTTACCCCAACTTTTGAAGCACCAGAAAATACAAAAGTATCAAAATAAAAGAACAATTACTAAACGTGACCCTCATTCCAAGAGCTTGATTGATTGAACGCGGGCTTGCCGCAGGTGGACGTGTTCCTGTGCCACATGGTGATGAGCCAGGACGAGCAGCACTACCCGCGCCCCATGGCCTTCGAGCCCGAGCGCTGGCTGCGGGGCGGGCCCCAGGCGCACACGGCGCACCCGTTCACCACCATGCCCTTCGGCTTCGGGCCGCGCACCTGCGTCGGACGGCGCTTCGCCGAGCTCGAGGTGCTCACGCTCGTCGCCAAGGTACGCCTCCGCCTCTCCACGCTTCCTCTGCGTTCCGTGCTTCCCCTCGTCCCATTCTTCTTCTTTTCCTCTCTCCATTCTTCTTTTCCTCTTTCCATTCTACTTCTTCCTCTTTCCACTCTCCTTCTCCTTCCTCTTTCCACTCTTCTTCTCCTTCCTCTTTCCACTCTTCTTCTCCTTCCTCTTTCACTCTTTCTTCTCTGCCTCTTTCCACTCTTCTTCTTCTTCCTCTTTCCACTCTTCTTCCAATTTACATACTTCTTACTCTCCGTTTCATTCTTCCCTTTTCATCTTCTTCCTTCTCCGTTTCTTTTCATCTTCCTCTTGTAATTCTTTTTCCTCTTTTTTCTTTTCCTCTTTCCTTTCCCTCCGTTCTTCCTCTTGTTATTCTTATTTTAGATCTTTTTTTGTAATCTTATTTTCTTCTTTTCTCTATTTGTTATTATTTTCAATCTCAGAAACACGCAACGTATACGCAAAGTAATCTGGTGCAAAAACTCGATCGAGATTAGCTAGCATATCATAAAGAACTGTAAACATGGGCTACACTCAAGAACACTATCAAGCTCCACTTAAATACATTTAAGTAGCAAACCACAAATATACGTTTGAGAGTGAGCGAGAGTAAGGTGAATATCATCACACAAACCATCGCGAAATGCACAAATATTGATAGTTGATATTTTTGTTCCGCACTGTTTAGACCGCGACCTCATAAATAGCACTACTACGTCGCTTGTAGTAATTTCGGATAATATTATTTGTTTATGTGATTAATAACTTACCAATAAAATATCAGATTGTCCTCCACATTACGTTTAACTACGCGAATTCCATTTTCAGGTGTTGCGGAACTTTTGGGTGGAATATCACCACGGAGACCAGATCGAATTCTCATCCAGAAGCATCAACACTGTTACTCTTCCTTTGAAGTTCCGACTGGTGGACCACGAGTAACGTGCCTTCATCAAAAAACGAAATCTCTATATTGAAATAAATCATGAATACAAGTAGAGACATAAAAGTGTGAAATAATTCAATATCAAAAAAAAAAAGCGTTGAAAGAAGAACAGTTGTTACGAAGATATATGTAATGTATATAGAAATTAGTAATGCCTTGTAAATATTGCAAATATTTTCAAAAAAAATCAACAAATCTATAAACAATACTATTTCTTTTCGCCCGACAGTACAAACGTGTTCTCTCATGCTAATTCTGTAGTACAGAGATTCTCAGAGCGCGGGACGCCTATGGTGTAAGTTCAAGGGAGAACCATTTCCACGGGGAGATAAAAAGGTGAAATTAACAATTTAACTTCAAAGATATTACTGTTTCACGTTTTTTTGCAATAAGTATTCACACTCGATTGATTACAACAGCAAAAATTGCGAGCCCATTTTTCAACATTAGAACCATGCTCTTTAGTGAACTTGGTCCAGCTTTACGATACCCTCAGAGGAAAGAATTGTCGACTGAGTAGCAAGCCTTGTATGCACTGCTCACTCACTTGAAGGTCGGAGGTAATTCTTATGGATCTTGAAATGGACCAGTTAATTGGTAATTAGACACGACAAGATGGGAACTGTATCAGGATGCTCTGACACCTCAAAATACTTATTTTCAAGAGCTTGGACGGCGAAATGTAGACGCGGGTTGTCCTGTATATAAAAATCGCAATTTTTTGAAATTTAGGAGTGTTCAATAAAAATGGAACCTGCGCCATAATTTTTAGCTTTTTTTCCGCACTCACGGACAACACAACATTTAACAAACAAAAATTGAAGTCATTTTTAAGAAAATTTGGAAACGGTTGTTGATACTTTATGTACCCACTCCACAAATTATTTAATATACAAGTTAAATAATAAATTATACAGGTGAATGCCATTAGAATATGTCTGTCTGTGGTTGGCTTTTCTCTAAAATTGATATTCCCCAATCGATCTGACTGATGTCGCGACCCTTCAATTTGAAATCGAAATTTTAATTATAGGGGTACTTTAGATGAAGCCTCTGGTACAGTTAAAAAATAAAAGAAATGGCGCCATCGATTGTGATTAATTTTTGTTGTTGGATAGTCTGAAAAATGGTTAAGAGAATGACGGACCAAGGCCTTCCTGAAGGGTCGCGGCTTTGCGGCCATGGATTTGAGGAATACGTGTGGCTGGCACGAAGGCATCCGTACTCCGTACTCTGGTCTTCTCAATGTGAGAAGTGAGTTTTCTCGTGGTCAGAGAGCCACTTATACTGGGACATTGCAAGGGAAACGCACACTAAAATCATTTTTACTTTTTGACCCTTTCCCCTATATGCCTTTTCTTTTCTCTTTCACGAAACTTCCCTTTCACTACCATGTACAACTTACTCAGTACTATTAATGTTAGGCCGCCATCCTGATTGAGGTTTTTCTGGGTTTACTCAATCGCTTAAGGCGTATGCCGGGATGGTCCCTACATTTATTCTCCCAGACCCAAATGTTCAGCTTGTCCTCCCCTCTTAAAAGGTTACTACTCTAAATGTATGTAAATTCAGTGGTTAGGTGGAAGAGCAGGCCCTATGGCCTGAGGCTCGCCATTAACAAAGACATTATTATTATTATTATTATTATTATTATTATTAAAATCTTTTTCGGCCGGGTATCTAACCTGTGGTCGCATCATGGAAGGCAAGCACCCTGACCAATGAGCATAACCGCGAGGGTGCTTTCAGAATATACTATCAGTAAAAACGCATCAAGAAATAAGACAATCATTTTTTTATAATAATTTTTCGAATTTAGAATTAATTTCTTTTCCTTAGTACCTTCTTATTACTTTCCCGCGCTTCAGAAGGAACTTCTTAAGAAGAGAAAGTTAAGTAATGCTGCGCGAAAAAACGGCAATTTTTAGGCAGAAAATCTTATTACGGGGACCTGGTAAAGAAAAAGTAAATAAATGAAGGTGCGAAATTTAGAAAAGATTCTCTAATACGTCGTGTAGCCAGAATCGATGTTGTGTGGGACTTGATACCGAAAAGTCAATTGACGGCAGAACGTGGGTCTGCCCGTCTGTGAACTACGCTCGCTGCTAAACTGATCAGCCCATTTTTTCTAAAATTGATATTCCCTAATCGATCTGGCTGATGTCGCGACCCTTCCAATTGAAATCGACATTTTAATTATAGGAGTACTTTAGATGAAGTCCCTGGTACAGTTAAAAACATAAAAGAAATTGCGCCATCAATTGTGATTCATTTTTGTTGTTGGATAGTCTGAAAAATGGTTAAGAGAATGGCGTATGTCTGATGTTAGTTAAAAACCCCTGATTTTTCGAACATTTTAAAAAATCCAAATTTTTTAGAGGACTGTCTAGAAAAAAATTATTAAAGATAGATATGTTTTCCTTAATAAAATATGTTCCTTATAGATAGATTTTTAAATATGGTCATGTACAATTTTTCGAAAATTTGAATATTTTTCGCATAACTTAATGTGAAATAGATGCAATTTTTAATATTCAATTTTCAATTCATATTCAATTTTTCAAAACGGAGAGTATTTTCTTTGCAAATTTTTGTGTCAAACATAGGCAATTTTTTTAAACAACTTTGTCTTAAAAGCCGCACGTTTTCTTATTAAATTGATAAATTAGATAGCATAAAGGACGTTAAAGAGTTTTGCCAGTTTCATTTTCAACATAATACACGATTATGCAAAAATAAAAAAAAATGTTCAGCATCTTTCTACAACTCGTGAAGATACATTTTTTAAAGAATTGTTTTATATATAAAGCAGATGCTGAAATAAGTTAATATTAAAATTTTTGAAAATATTAGTATTTTTGTGGAATTTCACAACAAATATTTCGTGTCCGCTCGAATTGACTCCGTTTCGTTTTCGATGTCTTCTTATAAGAAAATTGTGAAAATTCAATTTTTTTTCTAATGAAATGTGTTTATCAAAAATAGATCGTCAGATCAGGTCATGCTCAATTTTGTTTTGAGAATAAACTAGTATTTATTATGTAAATTGGTGATAAATTATATGTTCTCTGTGTTGTGAGCCTTCTTTTAAAAGAAAATGAAACATTTAAAAATAAAATTAAACTATCGTGGAGACATGGCGAAAAATAATTGTATGTATTCCAAACAAGCAATAGTGTTCGGTAAAGAACGACTTGAAAGAATTTGCATATAACTAAAGCAATAAAAACTGAAAAACAGTTCCATTTATGGCAAAAATGGCGCTTTTAAGAAGAATTGATAAGAAAGTATAACCCCTTGGTTGGCAGCGCTCATCACAGCATGCACGCTTTGTTGTCAGCGTTCACTGACTGATATGTGTTGATATTAACAGAAAATGCTGGATACTATTATTACAGAACCGTTACTAAGGGTCGAGGAAGTATGTGATGATTTAGCAGCACTAGTTTTTTTATGAAAAACTGAAGAGAAAATAAAGCATCTTACTGACGTTTTTACTATATATTACGTATTCATTTAATATACTTTTTCACTATAAGAGTTTTGATAGGCTCTGAAAAATGCTTCTTCTTCTTCTTTTCTTCTTCCTCTCTTCTTCTCCTTCAGTATAAAGGCCTGTCCTGTCACCCCTTCGTTCCCATCTGGTCACACCATCTCTTCTTCGGGCGGCCAGAATTTCTTCGTCCTTGTGGGTGGTACTATAGAATTCTTTTCGGCTGTGTCCAAGAATTTCGGTATCAATTGATTTTCTCGTAAAGATAAATTACCCCAAGTTCCTTGCGAATTACTAAATTTATTTTCTTGTCCATCACCTTATAACGACCCATTGATCTCAGAAATCTCATTTCAGCACTTTGTAGTCTTGTGCTACCTTTTTTGGTCATGTTTCAATTTTCACTTCCCTATAAACATGTTGGGATAATTAATACTTTATAGAATTTAATCATAGCTCTGAAAATGCGAATTTTTAAATACTACCAAGAAGGTAACTTCCTGGATGTGTCACAATCACGAGTGTGACCATGGCTGAGCAAACCGTGCAATGGCAAACACACTCGTTGCCTCATTCTCGCCACAAAGAAAACGAAACCATTTCCTTCAGTGATGAGTAATCCACCATTATCAACTCGCTTCTCGTGCTCCGTACGCACGAGTCCTTGGCTATCCAAGTAGGTCTCGGTGAGTAAAACCGGTTGTCGGGCGTGTTGTGAAAGGAGACGACCATAATTGTCCTGCGAGCCATCCAGTCGCCAGCCACCGCCGGGCACCGCTGGGTCGCAGGAACGCGCAGGTAGGTGGAAATCGATTTCTGTGCATTGTTTCCTTTTACAGATTGCTAGTTTACTTAATAATAGGTGCATGTAGAATCCCTGATCAAATTCATTTATCATCTTTTTTTCATTCATTACATAAATTATACTCAATTCTGTTCACAAACAATACATTAAAGTAACACTACAGGTAAATGCGATTAACATTTTTCTAATATTACAAACGGTGCGGGATTTCTGTAGATACACGTGATGCATGTCCCGAGGGTCTCGCACCGCTGCAACTTTTTAAATGTACACACTTCGCTCACAAAAGAGTTGATAATACATGTTTAAATATAATTGTTTTAACCCATCAAAAGATATCCATCAATAATATGCGAAGCGTTTTACTGTTTATATTTATATTCGTGAACGTTTTCGAATAAATGAGATCTGTCTTAAAGTTTATAAGTTCACATGAAAATGAAACATGATTTTCAATGAAACTTTAGACAAGATAAGAATCACTATACAATAATTGAAACAATATTTCGCCAACGGATAGTTTTTTGGTCTGAAAAGGTTTGTTATTTTTTTATTTTAAGGTCCCTTTTTAACTGCTTGGTCATACACCGACCACTGTGATTTTATCGTTGGGGTTACTGTAAGGGAACACAAAAGGACAACATGATCACACATATACATACTCACACACATGAACATACACATACAGTCGCGGCCTTCCAGCTTTCAGAAAAACTGTGTGAATGCGTGTTGCCGGCAAATACAGTGTCAGTGCATTTTAAATATTTTAAAGTACGTGTGAAAAGTTCATTTGAAAATGTTATGTTAAAACTGTTTAGTGAAATGGAGAGAAATATGGTGCTTCCTCAATTCCCTTTTATTAATTTATTGTGACAAAAATATTAAATTTACGCAAATTAACTATCTTTAAAATAACTTTATATCTAAAAAAATTGTATACAAATTAAATAATAGAAATAAAATTAAATAATTATAAGTCTAAAGAAACTTTTCGTCGTGCTTGCTACAATTTATTACATTTCAGTATCAGTGTTAAGTCTATCACATATCATAATGTTGCATTATACTGACAATAATGTTGAAATGCTGGTAATTATAAAAGACCTGAAATAAAAACATAGTTCATATTTACACTAGCGTACGTAAGAAATATTAAACGATTTTTTACATTTCTTCAGCATTTTTGGCAAAATTAAAACAATTTAGAGCTTCTGCAATACAAAAAATCGATTCGTATTCTGAAGATATTAAAAAAATCATCCGAAGAAGAATTAAATTACTGTATTAGTAAATTATGGTTTGTCTGTATTGCTTGACAAGAGTAAAATATTATTGTTACAAATTGTAATTATATCTTTTTATTGTCGACAAATTCTTTCAAAATCTGATGAAACCAATTAAATATTGAAATAGTTTTGAAAATATTCCCCTAATTTTGCGTTACTAAATGTAGTGAAGCGTCTTCATTTTAAAAATTAAAAGCCAAAAATGAAGTCCAACATGACTATAACACACAACAACATGTATTGTATTTATGAGGACCAAACACACTGTACTTGAAAACTAAATGATCATTTCAAAAGTACTATATCATTTTAAAACTGCTAAATTGTTTTATGTGAAACAAAAAATTCATTCCAATCCAATCCTTCCTTATTTTCCGTCAAGAGGCACGGGCCATAAAGCCTGTTCGTCTGAACCATGAAAATACGCTAAAGCCCTATCACCGTATATCAATATTGTAGCGTGGGAGACATGCTCCAAACTCCGCAGCCTCCCACGCTGCTTGGGCGACGCCAAGACATGTCCCTGCAATGCAGACGCACCACTAATGAAGGTGAAAAACAGCGTCGGTAGTTATTAGATGTAATGTTATGATAAACGGTCATAGCAGTTTTACATCGTAATCCATACTGGTGTTACCTACTGAATTATCCAGAAAAACAAAACTACATGTGGCTATCGTTGTTGCTTGCGACACAATCGCGCTAAGCGACTCGAAATCTCCATTGGTTCATTTGAATTATTATCAATGAGCCAATCGCCGCCGTTGGGGGCACTATAAGCAGCCTTGAGGAATACGACGCTTATTGTACTGTATTGCCAATGGGTGCTTATGATACTCGATTTGTGACGAAATGGCGACATATTGTAAACTAAATCTAAATATAACATTATAAATTTTAAGTATTATATTTTATTGAAATAATCTAACTACAATCAAACATTTTAATTGACACATGATTTATCATACTAAATAGAATATTCAATTGTGTCAATTAATCAATCGAATAAAATAGATTACCGTACTCATTGCGACTAATCTCTAAGAACTAACTGACGAATAAACAAAATTAATCCACTGATTTAGTATGCATGGAGGCAATATTCCGCGCAATGAACTACTGTATTCCGCCCACCGAACTCTCATACATAACCGCTAAGTAGAGATGCTAGAGGAATGATAGCACAATTTGAGTCGTTTACGCTCACACTCCTTGCTGCAGAGTTCTCCACGATATTAACAAAAACAGCATGGCCAACACTGTCCAAATTCTAAACTTTTTTCCAGTAACTTTCAGCGCGCCACGGCAGCTATTTTTTTTCACAGAACAAATAAATACTGAATGTCTTTCAACAGCAAAAATGTCGGGCCAGTTTTCGACCTGACGTGTTGAAAGCTCTCAGAGTAACTCTCGGGGGGGGGGGGCCCTGACGCACAGCGCCACAGGATGCTTCTGCAGAGCACAGTGCGTGCGCTGGGCGTGACTGGCCCCTTAGTGTAATTCTTCCCATGTAAGAGTTGGGAGGGGGGTGCAGCACAGCGTTACAGGATGCTTCTGCAGAGCACAGTGCGTGCGCTGGGCGTGCGGGGGGCGGCGCCCGTGTGCGTGTCCGCCCGTCATCGGAGCACCGCCGCCGCGACGCCCCTCGACGCCACCGCTGCCGCCGACGCCGCTGCCGCTCGCTCGGCCGAGTGGGAACGCGCCAAGCCCTACCACGCCATCCCGGGCCCCAAGCCCTTCCCGCTGCTCGGCAACCTCCCGCTCTTCCTCCCGGGAATAGGTACGTACTCCGCGCGAAGCTCAGGTTTGCTCACCTCACGAGCTCTCCGGTTTTCGCCGTCCTTCGTAAGGCGAGCAAATTTTCATTAGGACTAGAAAAATATTAATTTAAAAGCCGAGTTAAAGGTTTAGTGAAATTAAGGCCATAACTTGTGATTTTTAACATTTTGCCAATTATTTGACCGATGACAACGTTTATGACAGATCACAACTGATTCACGATTGTAGGATAGATGAGTAATTTTGGACCAGAGCTGCCATGAAATGTTGGAAATCTATTAAACTAACTTCCAACGTGCGTGGAAATTGACCGAGAACGACACAGCGTCAGGTCGCGTGAGAGGTGTGTATGGTTTAGTAGAAAGCCAGGAAGGGGCAAAAACTACAAAAAGAATAAAATAGTTCCATACTGAATGAAAAGTACAAATATATGATTGTGTTAATATACCTACTCTCGTTCAGCGGGTACCAAATGAATTATCATACACATCCCTTTACTGGCGTAATCTAACGCTTTCGCAAAACGACACAATTCATTAATTTTATGAATTCGGCTTTACCACTGAAGAAATGAAAAACACCTCGGAAATTTGCGATACAAATTTATCATGATAAATCCTAATTAACGGTTTTCAGGTTTTAACTAATATTTAATTTAATGACAAGTATTACTAATGTTATATGAAATATTCTGCGAGTGGTTGGGTGTAAATACGATTTGGAATTGCAAAGAAAATAATATATTGTCGTATAATAAACATCGTTTTAAGATTTGAATATATAAATATTGTTTTAGTCAAATGTATAAGATTTTATCAGTTTCAACGTATCAAATAAAATTGTAATTATTTTAAAGTTTCCATAACCATTCATTAGAAAACGATTACAAACATCGTTCTTTAGCCACAATCTATTCACTTTTTTATACATTTGTTAATACATTACATGCTATTTTAGAAATTAATGTCATAAATATTCCTATGGAAATTGCATTGAACAGATCTCAATAACATTAAGAAACTTAAACAGTTATAAAACCATTTGGTTGCAGGGAAATATGGAAAAGTAGATATGTTGGACGCACATAACCTCATTCGCAAAGAATATGGTGATATGGTTCGAGTCAGCAATATGGTGGTACGCAGAGACATGATATTCGTCTTTGATCCTGAAATAGCAGAAAAGGTGAGAATGAGTTAGTAAAGGAAACTTCCTGTATAATTAATGTCAAGTGAAAGAGACGTTTAGTAATTTCTTGGAAATAGATTATAGTAACTCTTAACTATAAAAATTAACTAGATTAATGTGAGTTAGACCAGAAAATTTACAGCATACTAATTAAAATTAGAGATAGGACATAAAATAAAAGATGTGAAATCTAAACCATTTGCGGATGTGAAATTAGATCTAACGAGAAACAAAATGTATTGATTTAATTGGTTTATACGCTTCCTAGTCCATGTTAATGTTATTCATTGATTTGAGTTCTTTGTCATCCAAAGACGTGGAACTAACTCATCACAAATATGTTAACTACTTAAGAATAGTTTTAAATTGGTTGTATTTGCGACAATTGTAATTTTAAAATTTAACTATTATGTTTTCTGAAAAAGACATATCATTCTTTACGTTAATCTTGTTTAGAATCGCAGTTGAATATCAACAAACAGAAAAAAAGCAGGATCCATGTACGTCTTATCTCTCTCTTTTCCATCAAACCTCAAATCACTACTCAATCGCAAGTGACCTCCCTCGCATTTTCGCCATCTATCTCACATTCTTCATCGTTCAGTATTGTTGCAGCTTTTCTCCAGAGAATGTAATTAAAACTATAAAACTTAGCTAATCATGTTTCAAAATATTTATATTTACTGAATGTCACCTTTCGCAGAACCAATAGTGAACATTAATAAAATATATGTTTTTTTTTATATTTGTATAAATAATTATCTATAAACTTCAATTTATTAATCTGAGAATTTTAATGAAGGATGATTGCAACACTATTCTTGTTAAAAATATCAAACAAGTTTTTATTTTACTTTTCACAATATTTCGTTTTAAACTATAAATTCAAAACTATGAAATATATAGTTCGTTAAAATCCATAGGTTACAACCATAATAATCTAATTATCCTCAATTAAATATATCGAAGATTAATTAATTTAAAATATTACAGTTTTGAAGGGAGTTTTCCAAAGTGAAAAAGTAAAATGTTCATAATATAAAATCTCATTACAATACTCGATTGTTTATCAAAATCGGCCTAACGGCACCGTTTGGTAATTTCCAATCTCATATTGTAATAAGATTCTTAAGTCGTGAATAACTATGTATGTAAGATTATTTTGGTGCATCTACACAGGTTTTCCGAAACGAAGGAGTGTGGCCTATTCGTGAAGGTCTGGAGTCTATGAAATACTACCGTTCGGTTCTTCGAAAGGACAAATACGAAGGTGCACACGGACTAGTCACATCGTGAGTACACTTTAACTACACAATTTCACAACCTTGTAACATGCTTTTCCTAGATAATGGCGAATAACTTATGCTTCTAGTGAATATACTACTTCAGAAAGCCAGATATACACTCGACCATGAAGTTGAGTTATTGTAGTACGCAGTCTTGTGCAATAACTTTCATTTTATTGCATCTTCCAGACAAGGTAAAGAATGGCATGACTTTCGTTCCAAAGTAAATCAACCAATGATGCAACCGAAATCGGCGAATCGATATTCAAGTGCTGTCAACGATGTAGCCGAGGATTTCATCAACAGGTGTGTAGGATATATAATAAAGAACGATATGCGCCTTCTGAAGTACAATTAATTTGTAATCAATATTGGTACGCACGTTTCATCGAAAATATGTTTTAACATTAATTTCTTAAAATTAATGAGAAAATCAAATTTTAATGTTTCAAGAATTGAATGTACAGAAATATATATAGAGAAAATTATAATTATTGGTATAAGTGATACTCAGTGTTGTATCATTTGAGTGGACTTGGCATCTAAGGAACTATGTTCCGTTTAAAAATAAGGGTTTGAGAACATCATATTTGCTGAGTAACGTTAAAAATTAATAATATTAAAGAACATTTAATATAATATATATACAATGGGTACTAAAACTTCACTTTTGAAAAGTTTAGAGGAAAAACATTTTAATAAAATGAAAAACATGGTTTAAAGGGTTTTGATAAAAAATATCTTATTTCTATTGACATTTTTTATGAAAAGAAAAATAGAAAATAATTTCAATATTTTCTTGTTTTTGCATTTGTATAGTATTAACTGCATGCTGTATTGCAAAAGTAATGGGGAACACAAAAATTAACGTCTTCCATTTCTCCAAATGTGGTTTTCAGATTCTGTTACATAATCGATTCTCTTATTATTCTTTGAACGAAAAACTGGATGTAATCTATGAAATAATAAACATCTTAAGTGACTATAATTTTCTTCTGTTGGAAAAAGCCAACCAAACGAGTTTTTACAAGATACTAGTTTGGAATGTCTTTGTAAACTAAGGGAATAATAAATCTTAGGATGCATCTTCTCACGCATACTTATTTAACATGTATACTGACGCACTATACCAATTAGAGATCAGGTTTTTGAATAGATAAGAAATACGGAACGATTTATAGAAGGTTATATTAAATTAATTACAGTTATTTTAGAGTGGATGTCGGTCTGATGTGTTGATGAACCGTAATAACAACCTTAATCGCACTTCAAATAACAGTCAAAATAACTTATTGTAATTGTATTGTATGTTTCCGCGGCACGTTAACTTCTTGGCTCTCCGGGTGAATGCGGTTACAGCCAACGACTAAGCATTACCTAGAAAGCCAAGAAGTTAACAAAATTACTTTTTTTTTCAGAATGCGTGAACTACGAGACGAAAACAAAGAGCTACCGGCAGATTTTATCCACGAACTTTACAAGTGGGCACTGGAATGTAAGTTACTCTGTCTTACGACTCTATGCGCCAAAAGGAAAGTTTTTAGATGCATTAAAAATAGAAATTTAACAATCGATCACAAATCTATTGTCATCGTATCTGCCTTCTGGTTGAGAGTTCAATATAGAAAAGCCGTTATGGGTAAGCAGTCGAAACAAAGATGTTAATCATGCTTAAAATATGACCTTTGTAGTTTATAAAGCAACATAAAAGAAATAAGTTAATGGAATAAATAAAAAAAGATTCCTTATTTTGTCGCCATCAATTATAGTGGAGACGCGACGAGACGGCGGCCGAGAATTGGAGTCACATGGATACGGGCACGTTACCTCTGCCACTTTTTACGTATGCACAACCCAGCTTTTAGTCGTCGTCGAGATACACTAAGAGTAAAATGACCAGTATTGGCCATCCAAAATATTGTTGTAGCTTTTTCAAAGTGTTTTGACACACTAATAAATTCTTTGTGTAAAATTCAATGGGCAATTTGCATTCTGTGTGCCTAAAGATTTCCTATAGACTATTTTCAGTTCCTTTGATTTTGTATTAATTTATTTACAAACTGCTTTGCTTTACGGATGCTCTGATCAGTAGTTTTCCGTGGTTTCTTCGATCAACACCAGGTGAATGCCGGAGCAGTCCCCCAACAAATTAGCCCCGAACAGCGCGCAATATTTTCTCCCCTTTGTTCTAATCTTACTCCTTAATTACACACACTTACTCTTGCAGGCACTACACCACATCACGTGTCGAAAGACCAGTAGGGAGCTTAGAGCTTGTTCCTGCAGAAGCGTTGCTCCGCTGGTAAGAAATACGTGATTGAGGAAAAATCCCACAAGTCTAGGAGTATGTCGGTGCTGGATCTTGCCATACAGTAAGAGGGGAGATCATCACTCTCTACAACGATAAAACATGCACTACACTTAAGGAATTAATGACCTGAGCAGTTGACGGTCCCGGAAACACTAATCAGTTAATAAATCATAAACAACCCACTAGAAGGCATTCCTCCAGGCCACTTCAAGGCATTCTTCCAGGCCACTAGTAAGCACTCCTCCAGGCCACTAGAAGGCCAACTACAAGGCATTCTTCCAAGCCACTAGAAAGCACTCCTCCAGGACACTAGAAGGCATTCCTCCAGGCCACTAGAAGGCATTTCTTCAGGACACTACAAGGCATTTCTCCAGGCCACTACAAGACACTCGCTTGGGGCCACTAGAAAGCACTCCTCCAGGCAACTAGAAGGCATTTCCCCAGGCGACTACAAGGCATTCTTCCAAGCCACTAGAAAGCACTGCTCCAGGCCACTAGAAGGCACTCCTCCAGGCCACTAGAGGGCATTTCTTCAGGACACTACAAGGCATTTTTCAGGCCACTAGAAAGAACACCTCCAGGGCACTAGAAGGCATTCCTCCGGGCCACTAGAAGGCATTCCTCCAGGCCACTACAAGGCATTCTTCCAAGCCACTACAAGGCATTCTTCCAGGCCACGACAAGGCATTCTTCCAGGCCACTAGAAAGTACACCTCCAGGGCACTAGAAGGCATTCCTCCAGGGCACTAGAAGGCATTTCTTCGGGCCACTGCAAGGCACTCGCTTCGTGCCACTAGAAGGCGTTCTGCCGGTTGACGTGTGTGTGCGCGCGGCTGTTGGCAGCGATCGCGCTCGTGGCGCTGGACACGCGCCTGGGCTGCCTGCGGCACGATCTGCCGCCCGGCTCCGGCCCGCGGCGCCTCATCGACGCCGTGCAGGTCATGTTCGAGGGCTTCTACAAGCTGGACCTGCGGCCGTCGCTGTGGCGCCTCGTCAGCACGCCCATGTGGCGGCGCATGGTGGCCGCCTTCGACTGCCTTAACGAGTAACTTGACTCCCCATTCGTCTGTCTATCTATCTATCTACCTATCTATCTATCTACATTTTTGTGCTTATGAATGTGAACGCAGAGCAATGTACAGGAAATATATTTATTAAGCAAATAAGAGAAAAACATAAATTCATATTATCAATATTCAGCGTGTCGTACTTATTTATTAACAACTCAATTCTATGAGGCTTTGAGTCAACATGTTTTATATGTTTTTATAAAATTATCATGAGATCACGTAAAGGATATTCTTTGTTCACATTAATAGTCACAAAGGTTTATCTATTTTTATATCTTCTTTTGGAGAGATGCGGAATCATTTTATAAGCACTATGATGTACCTTCGTGGTAGTGGGAACTCCCTACAAGTTTACCCCCTAAAAAACCGTCAATTTCTGAAGAGTATCGACGCGTTCTTTTTGTACTATAGAAAAATCGGTCGCTCTATGAGGACTTTGTGAGAAAAAAGTTGTACATCCAAATTTTCTTGACTTTTCTCTGCCTTCCATTAGATTCTAAGTAGTTTTAGAAAGTAGTATTAATTGGTGAGATAATTCAACAATAGAAATTCATAAGTTATGAAGTGTAACTCTGCCCATTGTCAGTCTTCAAACTCGTTAAAAGAAATTAAAATTAATAATTAATTGAATAAATAATTTATGCAGCTGGGGTATTTCTCAAAGAAGCCTATAGTAAAAGCATGGAAGAAATGCCGACCTCTGCGTATGAGATTGTCTGTTTTAATACACAAGAGAACTTCCATATCCATAACCATGATAGATATACTACATAAGTAGTATCCCACATTATAAAGAGATAATTAAAATAAAATCCTTTCGCAGTGTATCCGAAAAGTACATCAACGAGGCAATCGCCAAGAACACCTCCAGCACAGACAGGGAGCCCAGCATTTTAGCCCGAGTGATGGAAAAAGACCCGAAGGTTGCCAAAGTCATGGCTGTCGACATGCTCACCGCTGGAGTAGATACAGTTCGTATGAAACCAATTTTATGTTACTGTATATCTTATTACTCTTTATTATGATCTATTTTCTGATATAAAAAAGGTAAAAAATATTAATTTAAGTTTTGATATTTTTATGTGAAATAATAGAGTTTGAAAATGAACTTAAAAATGATGGCAAATTCAGAAAAATCTTGAATAGATGAATCATTTGGTTGGGATATTGTGTCTGAACATGTTGATATACAACTTTAGTGGAATGAAAATAACACAAAAGGAAGAGAGAAATGCAAATCGTATAAAGGAAATATTTTCTTAATGCCCTTCCTTATTCATGGTTTCATCTGTAAAAGTTGTTTCACATATTAGAACAACAAATTTCGTAACAGCTCAATTTTCCATCTGACTCTTTTGTATGAAAATAATAATTAAAAGGTAGTCGGATCCGTTTTCTTCATTCGTGTTCCAAAAATAGAACTAGCTATTCTCACGCTGTCAGGAAAATCTTTATCTTAACTTTCAAGGTTATGTTTTTAAACCTTCACTGTCAGGCTATGTGCCGGAATGCAGTTGACTCCTGTCTCTGAATCCTACTTAATTGCTTGGAATCACGAAGACTCCAAGCTATATTATTTTGTTTTGTCATTTCGTCGGCAGTGGTATAGTTGTTTTTCTTAACAGTATTCTTCCAATAATAGCTAAATGGTTGTTCTTCACAATGGAGTCAGAGAGGGCTCTCAATGTACGTAGGCATGTACACGTTTTCACGACAACTGCAAATAGAATATCAATGCACCGGATATCTCATAAACGTTTGAGCTTGCATTTCTTAAATTACATATTCACAATATGCATGCAATATGCATGTGACAATTTAATAAGTAAGGTTCGTATGTCTAATAAATGCCTCACCTTGGAGTACTGTTTATTTAACTATCAGAATTAAGTACTTTTGTCTTCAGTGGGGAAGTCTGTAATGATTTGGAGTCATATTCTCTTGTAAATAATAAAATAAAAACTGAAGATAGAGAATGGCATTTTATGTCCGATATTTAACATTAAGTGATCAGAACATTATACGCCCAACGATTGAAGTAATATTTTATAGTGAATAACAGAATATTAATAAATGCTCTGTCTTACAGACGTCACATATGACCGCTTCCTTGCTGTTTCATCTGGCGAAGAACCAACAAGTGCAGCAAAGAGCAGCAGAAGAGGTCCTTCAGGCACTACCGTCTGTACATGACCCTGTCACCTCTGAAACCATAGCTCGGCTTCCGTACTTGAGGGCATGCTTTAAAGAGTCGTTACGGTAATATGATTGGAAGTTTGCAATTATCATTACGCGATGTTGGTTTTTGTTGGCTTCATAACTGTCACTTTCTGTTATTTCAGAATTTTCCCCATCACTATTGGTAACATCAGAGAGACTCCCGAAGATATGGTTCTCAATGACTATCAAGTTCCTAAAGGGGTAAGTAAGAGAGCGCATAAAACACGAAAAAAACTCTAAAGCGAATTCTGAAATGGAACTACAGGTAGTAATAAGAATTCAGGTTTTACAGCAAATTATCCTTGAAAATCCCATTAACTCGTCTGAGATTCTAAACTCAAGATAATTTTAACAACAGTATATTAATTGTTAGAACAAGATTATTTCACCGATAAAAGATAAACAGGATATCCATGTACCGTAATTTACTTTTAGATCTTTTCTAGTGAGGAATATTTCTTTTTACGTAATTATCGTTGGAATTCATATTCTTGAATTATCGCTAAGGTTAAGCTTTTACCTTTGCGAAGTATTAGTTTACTTATCATTAAAAAATCAAGAAAATTCCAAATTGATATAACAAACATTTGTTCTCAAAATTAAAATAAAGCGTATAATAAGAAAGTATTGAATTTAACTGAACTGAACCCCACCACCGACCAACCACTACGGCGTCAGTCGTATTGACTACGCGCATCATTCCATAGCTGAGCGGAAATTACATCTAATGGGGTCAGGGAGTGTCGCAGAACTTTGCCGCGCATTTAACCAGGTTTCTTTCCCAACGCACAGACGTGAAATGTAATCAACTGAGAATATTTCACCATTTCATAATTCATATTACCTATTTATAAATGAACTCACGAAATCTGATTTTGATCTCGTCATTACCACTGGAATTTATAAAAGTGAATCTCTTTGATTTCCAAATGACATACTTTACAAAACATGGATCATTTTCGTAGTAAATAAATTAGAACGCGCGTGTTTAGTTCATTACCTCATACTAACTATTAACAAAATCAATCTGCCATATTTTCCAGAATGAAAAGTCAAATGTAATTCATTTAAGAAATGCGAAGTGAATGAAACGTTAAAGGATATAAATTGCACATCGGTATTACAATTAGATTGCTCAACAACATAGGCGTGCGCAGCCTAAAAGCAGAAGGAAGATTACTACATTTCTGGGACTCTTTTCAATTTAACATTTTTATTTACATACAAAATATTTTACCAGTAAGTGAATACAAAATTTAACAATGAGAATGAAACATTAACTGAAATAATACAGTTGATAAGTATAATTTATGTTTTCGTAAATCATTTAAAGTCTTGCCATATGACGTGCAAAGACTCTACCTCATAGGTAAAACAATTCACCAAGTTCTCAGGTTAAATGAAGAGAAATTCAGGTAATCTACATATTTACGGAAACAAAAGGTTTTATTTCGAATGGGCTCCCTTTCAAAATTTTCAGGGGATCACGATCCCCCTTTGCGCACGCCCCTACCCTCCCTATGCAGACGCCAATGCTTTTTAATACCGGCCAAAGACATTCTATAATTCTCCAGTCGTAAAAAGGAATAAAATCTTTAAAAAAAGATCCGCTCTCGTTCCCACAGTGCTTCTGGACTCGAAGATCTAGGATTCAATTCCTGACTGTGTCAGTATTTTTCACACTAGACAGCTAGGTGGAATCCAGCCGCTGTCTGGGGGAGAATTCTAGCAATAGGTTGCTCTGATCGCTAGTTTTCCGTGGTTTCTCCGATCACGACCAGGAGAATGCCCGAGTAGTTTTCTAATGGGCTTCGACCCACGTGCGCTCCTTACGTCTTATTCCTTGTTCTATCCTCACAACCTTACTTGTACACGCGTTTAAACGTACATGCACTTCATTTCACATGACGGAATATCAACCAGCCGGGAGTTTAGGACTTGTACCGGTTGGGGTGGTGCCCCGGCTGTGAGATACCGAGGAGAAAACCCGCCTACTGACGCCGATGTCACCATCCAGCGGGGGAATCACCACCTGACCACCCACCACCACCCACCACAACCATCAGCCACCGCCACCGCCACCCCACGCCACCTCCACCGCCACCGCCACCACCGCCACACGCCACCGACGCCACCGACAACACCGCCGCCACCGCCCGCCACCACCCCACCACCACCGCCGCCCCCGCCACCCCCACACTACCACTACCACTACCACTACCACTACCACGACCGCACCGCCACCGCCCACCGCCACCGCCACCTGCCACCACAACAAAGTAAACACCACAGAAACACACACATAGATACGATTAATGCCTTAGTCCCCCGAGTATCCAAAAACACGAAATAATCGATCATGACTGGTCCTCGTTCCAGACGCGACGTGTCCTGTGCCCACATGGCGATAGCCGCGACGAGCGCCACTTCCCGCGCCGCTGTCCTTCGAGCCGAGCGCTGCTGCCGCAGATGCTCATTGCCCACACGGCGACCCATCTCCAGCTGCCCTTCAGGTTCGGGCCCGCACCTGCGTCGAGGCGATTCGCAAATGGAGATATTCACGCTTTCCTAAGTGAGGGTTGCAAGTTTATTGTATAGCATGTTCACGCTCCAGACGATGTTGTAGAGGGGTGTCCAACTCGCATGGCGTCAAGGGCCACAACTACAACCTTTAATGTGATTCCGGGCCATATTTTCATTACTCGGGCGATCCACACCTGTCATCCCCGTGTGGCCGATCTCGGCACTTTACCCGTCTGCTCTGAAACGTTGCGTGCGTGTTTGTGTTTGTAAAGTGAATGCGTGACACTGTGAAACATTTTCTGATGATTTTGAATATTTGTATTCACTAAAAAACTTTGAATCTAAACTTAACCTATTTTTACATTAAGGGGATGTTGACATCGACAAGGCACGTGCGAAAGGCACGCAATACTCGTATTCTCGCCCGACATGAATGCGAGGGACTTACACGTTTGGCTAATAAGACCGGACCACAATAAATGGTATGCATCGCATGCGGCCCACAAAATGCCAGCTGGACAACCGCGATATAGTACATTACATTGTATCTCCTCGTTTAATAGTTATTTATCCACCAAGGGCGTTATAACACTTCTAATGATTGAGTGGTTACCAAATATCCATGTGCTATTGTCCCAAGAGCGTTCTATCGCCCCAGGTCATTAGAACCAGTAAACGCCAGTGTTACGTACATACTTTTATTTTTTACCTAATATTATTGTTTCAGATTTATTTACTACTTGACTAAATGTTAACTTGAGTCGGTTTCTTTTTTCATGTTTCCCTCCCATAATTTCCTCCAGAAGAGAACACGTGGCATCATTTAACTGTATTCATATTTCCCTTGTAAGCACAGTCCTTTCAATTCAAATAAGTTATGGAACATGTATCAAACTCCGTATCGAAGGCGATATAAATCTATAAGGTATTAGTAAAAAATAAAATGACTTATTTACTTTATTTTTGTATGAGTGCTTTTTGCTGTTGTTTTTGTTGAAGTTGACTGAACATACTGTCATGCCTCAAAAATAGTATTTTCGCACCCGCCAAATTAATTATATTTTTAAGATCTCAGTATCAATATGGCACACCATTTAATTCACTACTAACACAACGTGAAAACTGAAATACAGGTATAAATTTTCTTTTGAGAAATATATAACTGGTTTTAATATATAACTGGTTAACCGGAAAGATATTTTCTGGTTTATTGCCATAAAGAAACCAAATTTCTTTGTTTGACTGTATCCATTTTCCTTACGTATCATTACTTTACGAAACTATCAAAGTTGTTTAGTCCATTGGACAAATACTGAACAAATTACGTACTCAGTTGAAGTATGGAATTCGAGATTCATTACCAATGAAGACCGTTCTTTTTATTCAGTTTATTAGTCGTTCAGTAGGTCTACCTTCCTACAATTAAATCATAGAAACAAGAAATACATTGGCTTCGATTAGTAGTACAGCGCTCTGAGCGACCGGGCGTCGCGGTGACGTAGATATATATAAGGGACCGCGACGCCCCATCTTGTCAGGGCGCGGTTCGCGCTGTTACATGACGTCCAATCAGGGATTATCCCCTTCTCACACTTCGCCCAGGGGGTCAGCTTACTGATTGAGCGATACTTCGTCCGCCTAAGCCGATGTTCGGCAGTCGGCAGCCAGGTGGAAGGGAACCTGTTTCTTTATAAACCCGTAAGCGGCTCACTTCCGCTGATTTCGTCCCGAGGAAGGCTGCAGTATAACAACAGCACCGTTGCGGACAGTGCCAAGGGCGTGGCGTCCTTCGGAAAGCTATTGACCTCAACGACGAAGTCTACACTTTCGTGAAGTATTAATTGTTTGTCATCATAGGTTTGGAAAGAGTTCTTATTTATTATGCAAAACAAAAATTTTACATTTAGAGTAGAAATTCCCACTTAAGATGGAATACTCTAGAATAATTGAACCCATCGTATTCCGGATTATCAGTTTCTTCGGACTTTCCAAATAAACCAAGATAACGGCCAATAGTCTTCAGAGTAAAAAAAGACAATAGTAGAAATTGTTTATAATTAACCCCGATAGAAACAGCAGCAAAGCAGATGAATAAAATATTTTAATTATAAACATTTTTACGTTTTAACACTAGAAAAGAAATGATTTTCTGCAAGCAGTAGTTTCACGCTATTATTAAACCGTATCAACGCTTTTAAAGAATTGTGTAGGTACAGTATCCATTTAACGCAATTCTTTTTCGTGAGAATCGAATCAGGAGTTGTACCGACGGTCAGAGATTTTACTGTGCCGTCATATTTATTGACTTCACACTCATGTACACTCCTTTGTAATACTCGTTGTCATGGTATCGTAATATTTCAATCGGAGTCAAGTTTAAGATCAATTTTAATGGTTGAATTCAACGATCTACTTATAATTTAAACATTGACTATTGACCAGATACACCAGGCGAGTACAGATGTGTTTCGAGGTGATTAAATAAAGTTATTAAACAATTACTTTAAACAAAGTAACATGTTTTCTTGAGCAAAATTCTTATTCTCTTTCGTCTCACGAATAGTCTTCGAATATCCGACTCAAATATGGTTGCAACACGACAGTCATTATATCGTTATTTGTATCACATGAACAACATATGCATATTACTTACTTGATTGGAATCTTTACATTATTTTCTTTCGTTTTCAGATTCTGCGCAGCTTTCAGGTGGAGTATCATTATGGTGATGAGATTAGTTTTACAGCACGCACCATCAACACTATCACTTCTCCACTTAAGTTTCGTTTAATTGATCGCATTTAAGCATGCAGATCTCAAAGAAATATTTTTCTCAAGAAAAAAGTACAATAAACAGTCAAATACGTCCGTAATAAGTTTGGTTCACAAAAAACTTGCAACTTTTGCATGTACAAGAAATAAAATATGACATGGTACGCTTTTTTGTGTTATAAATATAAGAAAATAAGTATGGTTGTTTCGAAATGAGAAATATGACGGCAGCACTGAACTTAAATTCTCAATTTTGCCACCTACTTTTTTTTGGGGAAACTGAATGGTTTGTTCTTGTTACGGATTATTTTTATCATATATTGAATAATAAATAATTGTAAATATGAATTATTAAAATTAATAAACAATGTATTGTAAATACCTAGAATTGTCTTTCTTCGTGTACAGTAATTCTTTATTTTTCGATAACGTTGATAACTCCAAAAAGAGACTTGGCAAAACATTTTAAACACCTGAACGAAGTCAACTCCACCAAATGCATTACAAAAATAATGATAAATTAAAATAAATCAGTAAAATAAATTCAAAAATAGCCAACCTAGATGGCTGAGGTGGTTAAGGGCGTGTACCGACTCAGGTCATATGTTCGAAGAGTCGTGGGTTAGAGTCCTACCTTAGGCATGGTTTTGTCTTTTGTCTCTCATGTATGTTGCCGCGGAAGGCTTCGTGTTGTGTTGACTACAGATCAGTAGAGCCCGCAAAGCACGTTAATGTCTAGCGTATGGTCGAATATACTTCTAATCGGAATGTTAAGAGTAAGTGGTTGTCGGCGGAAAAAAAAAGTACTAAGAAGATGAAATTCAAAAATAATGTGAAAGTAATAGCGTCTATCTTGTAAAGTAATCTTGTCTTTCTGGCGTTCCGCAAATGCTAGTGCGTTTCCAAAGCATTAAGCAACGAGATACTCGCCGGTGTAGAAACCATCCAACACACTTTTCACCATTTCAGGGACATCACGGACGAACAGCTGGTCTCGGCCAACCTAGTTTGCGCAACATCCGGAGTCCATATGCGCTGGGTATCCGAGTCAGTTGTACTCCTTAAGGAATTGCGCTCCCGTGCTTAACCGCACTCCGAATGGAGTTCAGAAAACGCCAGTTCGTTCGTCAGTTCGTAGACACAATTTGAAAGTACTGTTTTGACGAAAGGGTGATTGCCCAGTGTGGCATCTGTAACCTCAGAAGAGACATTGAAGATGCGCGTGTTCCAGCTCAAGAACTGTTAGTCAAAGGAAGGGTGTAAAAGGTAGTATCGTGAAAAACCAGCTTCGTTTGTTCCAGATTTGTCCGTGCAATTGCTGGTGCCAAGGTTCGTTTTCTCTTGGAGTCATCAAACCCGCACGATCCTTTGTACAGTAGTAACTCCACCATTACCAACGCAGAGCCCCACCGCTTATTTTGTATTAGATTTGTATAGGTTTAAATCTTTTAAAAGCTGAATATCGTTGATATCGATCATTATGAGTTGTTCACGAAAATATGCTGCAATTTAAATAAAATATTCAGAACTATGGTTACAAATGGAGGATGGATAAAAATATTGCGGACTATTCACTCGAAACCTTAGCATTCACATTACCTTTTGGAAATATTTCCAATATTTTCAGGCTCAATATAATGTATTATAACACAGAGTTATGAAGAAACATCTGTCTTTATTTCGCCTAAAAATGTAAAACGATTTGTCGTTAAATACAAATATTGATGCGATAAAATATTTATATTTGCATACTTCATAAAAAGAATTAGAGAATCAATATTTTTGTTTAAATGTATGTGCATATTTTACTCCTTACATCATTTTCTTAATTTATCAAAATCGTCAAAAGTCAAAAAAATCAAAATGAAAGCGGTGGACCTCGGAGAACTGCTCCTGATAATATAAGGAAACTTTCACACTTTGGTATTTTAAGTGTTAAATATCTACGAGGAGCGCGTGTTAAGTGCCTTTTTATATCATAGTAGTTATAGTAAAGCAAGTTTTCTACAGCTGTCGCCATTTCTTGCTCCCCGATCTTCTAAATCTCGCGCTGCCATCATTGATCTTATGTCTTTCTCCCACTTCCTTCTTGGTCTTCCTCTATATTTTCTTTCTTCAGAATGGCATTCTCACATCATCTTTGGCAGTCGCTCACTGTCCAACCTTCTTAAATGCCCATACTCGAATAGAGCCTTGGTTTCTATTAGTTCTAAGGTTAATGTTATAGGTTTCAATATTTCTATTATTCTTTGATTTTTAATTGTATCTGTTCTTCTAACCTGATAACACAATCTCAAATATTCCGTTTCTGTTCTTTGGATCCTACTAATATCCATGAAATTAATAGTTCATAATTGACTTTCAACTTTCAACAACGATCTTATCACTTGCCGAATTATTTTTAGGGAATCTTTCCTATTACGACCATTACTTGCTACAGTAACACCAGATGGTTGAATTCCTTTACATATTTAAATATGCCCCTAACAGCTCCTGACCATTTACTCCCACTACTAATATATTTTGTTTTTGATATATTAATGTCAAGTTCCCGCTTTTAACATTCTTCAATTAATTTTCGAGTCGTGTAGTGGATATCATTCTCATCACTAGCTAGGACCACTTGATCATCTGCGTGCATCATTATAAGAAATCTGCACCAATAAGTATCCCCATGCCCTTACACTTTCATTTCCAGGTGAGAAGAACTCGTTTAATATATATTTTAAATAGAGTAGGGGATATACTGTAACCTTGTATTAGGCCTTTATATTATTTGCAATTAATAATTTTTATTATTGAAGTCGTTAAAAGGTGGCAGATGTTGGGCAGAGCACGCTTCCGTGCGCATTCATCTTGCGGTTTGAAACCCTCACCTTCTATCTTCTACTATACGTGTTGAATTTTGAAAAAACGGTAGCAACCAGAGTTTTACCGTTTCTCAACAAACAAAATCGCTCCCATGTAATGGAAACTAATTCCAATGGCAAAGAAATAATTTGAAGAAAAAGTCGCAAAGGAGTATATTGATACAGAAGCTGGCTTATAATACTTGCTACCGATGAGAATAAAAATACAGGAAAATTAATTGTAAATGGCAAAGAAAAGCGCATTTTAAAGTGGTTACGGACTGTATCTCCTTGGCTGTCCGGGAGACGCCGCAACCTAAGTACAAATGGCAAGGTTCCGACCGCCATTTTGCGACCTTCCTCAGGTCGAAATGTCCTGGAAGGAGGCGCCTCCCAAACAGCCAAACTCATTACTACTCTGGATGAAGAAGCCTAAGCTTTCATTTCCTTTGTAGTGTTTCATTTTGAAAACAAAATCTATCCACTACTGCCGTTTAACTCATACGCTGCATGTATACAAGGTTTTACCACATAATATTTTATTGGTTTTTAAAAGAATCTAATATCTGTAAATGTGAAACGTCGACTGCTAAATAATTATAAATTTCTAATATTTACTGATGTATGAATGTACTTGGCATTTCATGGTCAGATTAATTCGACTTTTGCCAGCTAGCGGTGTTTCAAGGCCTGGGTCTGTTAATATTTATTATCAACGCCTGGGGGTAAGGGAGAAAGACGCGCTTCTAATAGCGTATCCGGCGTACTTGGCCTGTCTGAGATTTCTGTTTCGCAACGCACCTAAAGAAACTGAGAAGTTTTATATTAGAAAACCACAGCTTCGTTTTTGTTCAGCCGGGAATCAAACAGGAATTTCTCGACGAAAAGCTAGCACCAATATCCAACTAAAAGGCCTGTTCTTACTGATGTATGGTGTAATTAATTACTGTCTAAGGTATTGTATTTATAAATGTCTGTGTTATGATATAATATTTTACTTCTATGAAGCAAACAAGATTTTACAAAAGCCGAAGTTTCATAAATGAATGGTAATGCAAGGGAGCAGAGAGTTGTTCTTATTACTTATTACCAACTGTATGATAATAGTGTGTACCAATTTGTATTTAAAAAATATTCGTATTTTCCACATTTCATGTTGAAAAAATGTGAAATAGCAATATGTGATTTTCGTGGATCAGAAAAAAAATATTATTTTCGCAGCGTTGAATGTTTCGAGTTGAAAAATATATTTTTTAAACTGTAATTGTCAATTTAATATTAATTTACAATATATAAAAATAAACTTAGTTTTGGATCCCGAAGGAAAAGGGCACTCAAGACAACTTTAGAAAACTCATGTTCACGGCCGGCTGTCGGGCAGAGACAACTCTGTTCAAAAAACTATACACGTTGATCAATATGCGCCTCGGGCAAAGTTTCCTAATTGCAACCCGTGAAATGGAGCAAGCAAAAAATCACGCCCTAAAACATTCCATTTTAAATTCAACGTGTTTACAACTCATCTATATTTTATGAAAGTTACTATTTCATCAACAGTGATATATTGTCATTTAACGTTTGTGCTGGAACGCTTTATCTTAATTCCTGGCATCAAAGCGTTGATAAAAAGTATACATTGCGTGTAAAAGAAACATATATACTTCTAAGTAATGTTTTACTTGGTTATGCGTGTTAATATTCCTATACATGATTCCTACGAATGAGCTGCTATTGGGTCAATTAGAAAGAGTCGCAAACATTGTATTTGACTACAGTTTTCCTCTTCATCAAATATTATGTATTTGGGGTTCCCGGAAAATGTTAGTCGCTTTTGTTAAATGCTAATTTCATTTGTTTCCATTGCATTTTTCCTGAATATTTTTAAAATGCTGCTTTCATAATCTTCAAATTGAAAGAATATTAATACTTTATCTCCTAAAAATGGTTAGAAGTACTTTTCGTCGGTCACGAGATCCGAATATTGACTCGGATGTTTTAGGTTCAAGAAAGCGTCAATTATTTCTTACACATAGGTTTGACTTATCACTATTCAATTGTTGGTCTATTTAATATTTTCGTTGGAATTTAAAACTTAGTTTCGTTTTTCTTCATGTTCTATTATGTTTCGTAATATAAATTCGAAAGTCTATCAGGCACTTCAGTTCACTATGTAACATTACCAGT